GAAAAATAGAAACAGTAAATTAAGCTAAGCCTAAACATATAAATATCCTGTACTTGAAATGTTCAAGCCACTGAAATGTATTATTTCACTATCAAGTGCTAAATAAATACGATTTCACTGCTACAAGATAGTCAAGTGTGATATAGTGGTTAGCTTTCTCTAACTCCGAACTCAACGGTTCGTAGTTCCCGTTTAATTACCACAATAAACGCGCTCTGCAACTGGATTCCGTAGGCGCGCTATGAGAATGACTAAAATCCTACCATTCGGTTAGACAAAAGTAGTCCAAGAGTTGGCGGTGGGTGCTGTTGATTAATTAGTTTTTCTCTAGTCTACCAATTAGAGATTTTATGCGCAAATGATGATTGTGTGGCTTTACGTGAAAATTTTAAAACAAACTGCTATAAAATTATAATTGTAATCCTTCAAATGTAACATTTTATAAAAGTAATCTCAGTTTCTTAAAAGGTGCATCAAAACCTATTTTCAGTTGTCTTGAGCAATCGCTTTTTAAATAACAAGAAAAAAAATGTTTCGTGTACTGTTATAGCAATGGCTTTGAAAGAATTTTTATTTTTAGAAAATGTCCGAGTGGGACAAGTTTCTCAACCAACTTTCTCATTCAATTTCCACCAATATTTTAAGCTTCTATTATATCTAAGAATAGAGAGAGTGAACAGCAGCTTTAATTCTATTAGTTTATTTATTTTTTTACCTTACGGTTTTTGGCTTCGAACTTTATGTTCTTTATACATTTTCAGCGGGAATCACTCGTCGACAACTCCAGATAGCAAACTTTTACAGCTTTTGCTTCTAACCTTGTAAGAATTCGTCCTTTTAAAACCACAAAACTGGCTAGTCTACCCTTAAGTGCTTCTTGACAAACTCAATTATCAGTGCTTTAGACATGAGAATCAAAAGTACTTCAAGAATTTCTGGTATATTTATCTGATGTCTCGTACTTAAGTGTCTAAAGATCTATAATAGGCATGAAGGACAACAGATTCATGTCATATATAATGCACATATTTGAGTTGAATAACTTATAGACAACCAGATGGAAATGGTGACAGCATGAAATCTCTATCGTAATTAATTTAGCTAAAGTTACTAAAAATAAAGTAGTTAGCCTACTGACCGCTTCTTTTATTTCTCACGTTAAAAGACACCTTAGATAAAAGTCCGTGCACCTTTCTCTTGCAAATATTTCTATCACTTCCTACGATATCGTACAGTTTCAATCACGTATCAAATCTGATATTCACGTTCCAAACATCAACTACAATATCTTGAAAAGAACGTCCCTCAAGAAGTATATTTTTCGCAGAGCTTCGAAGACGAAAGTAAAAACTCAACGACGTGATGCATGCGATTAAAGACTGTATATTATCATACATTAGTTTAATTTTATTATTGGAGCTTACGAGTAGCCACAAAATACCCTTTTTCTCTTGATGTACAAACATTTAAATCATTTTGCGCCATCTCTCACGGTGCTACTGTTTATCATGTGGTCAGTTCCTTTACCCTAATCAGTTACCTCTCCGTACTTACAATGCTAGAATGCGGGTTTCGATTCCTCGCGGTGGAGAAAGCGCAGATAGCCCATTGATTAGGTTTGCGCTAAGAAACACAAAAACCAGCATTACCGTTGCATTGTGAAATTATTGACACAAGTATAATGGTTAAATCAGTTAGAGGCATTCTTGCATGAATGTATTAATAACTACAAGTACAGAACATTTTGGGCTAAAGAGAAACACTTCAATTTAAAGATTTTTAGGCCTTTTTTCAATTCTATATAATGATGGACTTTATTTCGCAACAGAAGATTTATCAGGACAAAAATATAAGCTCTGAAAGATATTGTACTAAGAGTATCGGAATATACTAAAAGAAACTGTCGTTTATACTTCATCAAATCAAATCTAAAGTTTAAAATGCTATACAAGCTGATGGGATATTTACGTAATTACTGATAACCGTGTCGATAGGTATTTTTAATACTTCAATTTTCCAATACATTTCAATAATGTTACAAACATACGTCATCGAGTGGTACTAAAGTCTCGAGCGGGTAAAGTGAGCGAAGTTGTAACTAGTTCTTTTAGAATGAACACAGCGGTCAGTTGATAATGCAGTCATTTTCTTTACTCGTGAAACAGTTAATATTTTACTAGTAGCTTCGTAGTACTAAAATTATTGGTTATTTAACACTAATTTTACTTTTCGCATCAATGATAAAAATATATGCGCTCGCGCTATCCTATTATTCCGGCTCACATAGTAGCTCACTCACTACTATCGTTTTGATTATTATTCACTTAGATTCTGAAATTAATAACGTACATTCCTGAAACAAGAGTTTATTATTACGAATTTTCCTTAAGTTGAGGCTCAATCTTAGTTCAAGGTAATAATGTGATATGGATACAATAAAGTATAAAGCAGATTGTCTCAAGAAGTAATGAACAATGCGCATGCGTCTAAAATATTACTTACTTTTTACAATGTGACGTCGAAGAGTAGGTTTTCTGAAAATGAAGACTGTGTAACAATGATGATCAACGTAACCGTTACCCTACAGAAACTCTGAATAAAGTGTATCGAAGTTTTCTTCCATATATGTACAGCCCTTAATATCCGGATATCAAGTTAGTTACAGCCTGGGTTTGCAATTATATCCAATACTGTATATTCGAACGCGTACAAACAAGGATCAGGTGGAATGCGTTCGTAAAACGGAATAAACCAACTAACAGCGAGGGATATACTAAAGATGTGGCTGGCAGTTTGCCAGGTTTTAAGTTCCTGTAGCTAATTGCCAGTAACTTGCAGCTGCTTCGTCTTCCCATGTAGTGTTATAGTTGAACAGTAAGTTCGATTTACACTATTCCTCGGACAACTCGAGTGCAAGTGACGACGTTTCAGATCTACTTACAAAGTCAAAAGTGTAGAGCTGTATACACAAAGGTAACAAGAGAAGCATCCAGAGAGAACCCCACCCAGTTGGCTGATTTGTTTAAAGGTCATAATGTACACATTTATATCTCCATGTATTTAGCCGCCTCATCCCTAGAAGCCACAGTCAGTCACAATACCCACTAGTTTCAGCTTTTCAAAAGGTCTGAGCAAAAGTTTTTTTTGTTTGATTGTTTTAAACCATAGCATTTAACATGGCAGAAACCGAATCCACAGTGAAGTCAAGTCTTGTGGAGAAGAACAGGAAAATAAAAAAGTGCCATAGTCTGTGAAGTTTACTTCACAAGAAGTAAGGTCTCTAAATGTAAATGGTTAACGTGAGCGAGAGCTGGTAGGAAAAAATGAATACACATTTATCAACTATTGACTTTAAGACATGCCTATTATATGTGTGTGTATGTATATACACACACACACACACACACACACACACACACACATATATATACACACACACACACACACACATGTACACACACACACAGATAGTAGGTTTCGTAATTTTATATACATCTCTTTACTCAGATGCAATGATGTTTTACTCATATTTCAAACTCTTGAACATTTTAATATTTAACATTCACTTGTTACCAGTCGCGACCCGCATAACATTTATGATAGTTTACATGTCCTTCGCTTGAATTTTTCTTACTCTATCATTTTCACGAACGCTATTCAAGCTGTTTTCTTGCAGGCATTGAGTGTTAGACTTATAAATAATGGTCTATTTGAAAAATAAATAAATACGCAGTCAGACAAACAAACTCACACAAAGGTAACTTTATCGATAAAACTAGACTAAAGTAAACAATAAAGTAATCATATTTATAATAGTGTACATAGTATGAAACGGTTTTACAAGTTGAAACAAGGAAAATCACCAGTAGTAAATAAAGTGTCTAGAAGGTTTTTATAGCAGTCTATGAAACGAACCGCAGCTAAATTATTGCAAAGTAAAGTAAATGTAAAGTTATAATGAAGGCAAACTTAGCTGAATATGCAGAAATGTCTGAATACTTGTTTACAAAGTGATAAGCATATTGTCTTGAACGAACTGCGCATGCAAATAAGTTGAGAAAGCCCATGTAAATTGTATTTAGTGTAATGTTCATTTTTTAAAGGAAATTCCACTCAGGTTAAGTGTTATTTGAGTTAAATACTTTACAACTAAAAAAGTTTAAATTGAAGCCATTCGTCACTTGATGACAACAACATTGTGTCACACAATGTTGTTGTCATTGTGTACCAAACGCATTGCATTGAAAAGGTTTGCTAAGCAGAAAACAGGCGATTCTGAATTGAAAAGCCAATATGCGATCCGGAATCCTTGTACAACGACCTTTCTATCGATATGAGAATTGTAGCGTCTGATCGAGAAATTTGGAAGAAAAGTTCGAGCTAAACACGAGTGTATTGTTTATATAGTAGATTTTGTGCACCCGATCTATCTTTTCCCCTCCTTGGCTGTCAATCACCATGCCGCTCACACGTGTGTGGCCATATTTGTGCTAGCACCTGATCATCGAGAGATCATTGTTAACCAAAACAATTTTAGGTGAAATACTTTGGATACTCTTATAATATAATCTTTTCCCGAGGACTCTTTGAAGGATAGTGATGACATAGTAAAAAAGTCAAATTAAAGCAATATTGGTTTCTATTTTAGTGACAGGTTAAGGACAATGTTCTCAGAGGAAGTCTCAGCCCCATCTTCTCCTTCCGGCGACTTCAACTTGCGAGGTTCTCCTCATTCCATCTCCAGTGGTTTTATTTTTAACCCTTTCATAGTTTCAGCTGTTCTCTCCCTCGGTAGTCCCAAGAAAACTGTGGCTTTTGAAAACTAGTGAACCTAGATATTTGACTTTTTTTATGGCAATTGCAGACAATCCTTGGCCAAATACTGATAGTAGTCCCGCGATTTTACCATTTCTCAGTTGCTACTGGTATGTTTGGGGGGATATTTGATTGTTACTCTAGAATATTGGTTGTTTCTGGCAGCTTCTTCTCAGTAAGACAAAACAAGTAGCTTATCCTGAAGATATTTACCAGCTTTAACTTTGCTAAAAGCTGGTATAAGCAATGGGGTATCTATTTCTACAGAAGGTAGGGCTAAAAGACTGAGTGTAACAATAAGACAGGGTGGTCTCACAGTTATTGCTATACTCTGGCAAATTTGCACACTTCAAAATAAATTTCAAATGAAAATATTGGAGTTGAACCAGTCCGTGATAGATCAGAAGAACGGGTTTTACCACAGAGGGAGCTAGTAACAACATCATTTATACATTTTAAGCTAGCTTCAATTTACTATATGAACCAGCATCACCGACAAGATAAAAAAAATTGTCTAACTGCAACTAAAAAACAAAATAAGATAAACAGTGTATTGCAGAAAAATGATTAAGGTTGCTTGGATCTGCGGACCTACCATCGTAACTAGGCTTAAGTGACAACTCTCATCCGACTCTGAAGAAGTAAGCTTACTATCATTCACACAACAGTCTGTTTTCCTTTCGCACATACACACGTAACTGAACTATAAACAAGAGCGTCTATACCTGAATCTTATCTACCTGCAATTAAAACCAATAGATATGAATTCATTTATGCGTGGGAACAAGTCACACAACGTTACTATCTCATTACTGAATGGCTAAAACCAAAACATCATTTAAAATTTCGTAGTAAAACCTTAACTTTTCTTTTCCAAATTTTATACACAACTTACTGGACCAAGAGAAACAAACATCAGCCACTGATGAGGTGAAGCATCACTATATTGTTTTTGTTTTTTTTATCATTGTGCCAAGTAACAATAAAACCTAATCTCGTAAAATGAAAGTAAAATGAAAGAACTAAATCAAAAGTGGTCTCTACAAGATATATACTTAACTCTTTCACATTGCATGCGTGAACTTTCGTAGCTTTATTTTCATGAATCTTTTACTGTTCTTGTATGCTATCAGAAGTTTTTTTAATTTACTTACGCATACATATGCATGTTGTGTGCGTCAACAACAAACGACTTAAAAGGACATAGGTGGGAGTGGAATAAAAAAAAATACACAAATTAAATGACAAAACTCATGAAGTCAAACCAAGTCATTATTGTGCTGCCATCTAAGGTCAGAAAATCCTTACACATTCAGCATACAATATAAAATTTGTCAAACATTCTAATTAATGTGGATTTCTCATCAGTATTTGTCTAATTTTCCATAATTACAGAAGTGTTCATTTAATATGAATTAACATTTATATTTCTCCCCACTTTCCCACTTCTCTGCCACCATTTCATTAATTTGTTTCAAAGTTTTCTGCTATGTATTAGCTGCCCAATCAACTAGCTTTTGCAAGAATATCAGCCAGGATACCTTTACTGTAGAATTTTACTATGTAATGTGGGAAAATAAGGGTTGCAACTGGAATCTCACGGAGTCATATCAATTGGTTTCAGTTTTGTTACTGTAACAGGTATTATACTCTAGCTACTGTGACCTGATGAATCTCAGGTGATCCATTGTTATACACATATTTGATGTGTTCTATTCAATAAAAGTCTTAACGTCTACGTAGTTGACACTATTGCCCCAGTCACTCTTCTGAACATTCTCGCAGTTTCGTTGCCTTTTCTTCCGAATCTTTATAAATAAGAAGAGAAGTGTTCAATTTGCTTTTGGGTTATGCGAGCACTGAAAATCTTAGCTTGATGTATTGAGTTGTCAAAGCATGAAGTTCGGTCCAGTTCATCAGGATCCGAGAGGTGCATGTTGCTGGCACATAACATAGCCATATGAAATTCATATGACAGATGTTTCTCTTTTGCAGTTTTACTGTTACCATATTCCAGTCAGTTACCTACCTCACCTATAGCAATGCATATTCATGGACATTAATAACAATGGTATGTATCCAACATTGAAATACTTTCAATACATTAAGAACCATACATTAAATTGTAACTGCTCCTCCACATAACCAGTTCCTCTGGGTACTGTAGCAATATATGAGAAGTGATATTCAAGTAAATCCACTCAGAGGTACTAACTTTAAAAGCATTCACTTGAAAGTTTTTACCATTCATACAGAGAGACTAACTAAAGAAAACAGGGAAGTTTCTTCCCATCTAATACTTGGAAGTAAAACAAAGTAATAAAAAAGTTAACTTCTTATCTGCGTATGTTATCTCAGCAAGCACTCTGAAGTGAAATATTCACTGCTCAGATAACTTATCAACCATGGTAAAATAACTGATTAAAGCCAGAATTTAACATTTTATATTTCCCCAACATAGAACAACCTACCCACAATTCTGACACAATTTGGGCTGACGTGGCTAGCTTTTTCATTGTGGATAGCACACAATGTTTACACCATCTTCAATACTCAGGTTTATTGATGTAAAACTGGTAAATATGAAATATTGCAATAATAAGAGAGCCCAAAATGATAGAGAATAAAATAAATATGGACAAAGAAAAAAACTTGAGAACAAATTCAAAATAGAATATAGTTCTCAAATAAGTAAACCCGGGATTTTTATTGTATAACTAGCCAACCACTGTTGTTAAGCTCCAATGAATGTGTAAGCGTGGAAAGTAAACAATCCACTACTAAACAGGTTAAAATCGCAACAGTCCAGCTAATTAGGTAGTATAAAAGTGCTAATGCAATGTCCTACAATTCTAGATTACAAACACCATTAATCATTCTCGTCTCCTGTATTCAAGTAGAGATTAACTTACAAACTCATAACAACTTTATACAAGCCTAACTACAATACTACTTGGATCTAGTCCACAACAGGAGGAACAAATGTCCAAGAAGCATA